GGCGTTACTACCTGAGGGCTCCGCGTCGCTTGTTAAGGCTCTTCCCGGGCACTCGGGGATTTATGTCTTCGGGGCACGGGGGCGTCTTGCCTGGACCCCCTCCTCCGGCCGCCCTCCCTTCCTTCCTTCCTCCTTGGCTGTCGGGCTTCTCTCTCCTCCCCCAGGTGCACGGAGTCGCGCCGCCTTATCTAATAATCCTCCTGCTCCTCTCGCCCGCGCCAGCGGAGCTGCTCCGCCTGGGCCACCGCTTCCCAGTCGGTCATGGTGCTGGGAGCGAGGCGAGCGAGCGAGCGAGGCGGATTGGCAGTCTGTCGGCGACTATTTGCGGGGAGAGAGAGGAGAGCCGAGCCAGAGGAGGGCAGGGGAGGGACGTGGGGAGGCGCCTCCAAGTGTGTGAGCGCGCGGAGTGTGACTGTGTGGGGAGCCCGGGAGCCACCTCCCCAACAGGCGCCCTTCCCACTGTGCGGAGGGCGGCGGCGCGCGCGCCCTTTAAAGGGGTGGGGGGGGGGGGGGGGGGGGGCGGCGCCGGGCCAAACTGCGGCCGCGGGTTTCCACGCGCGCCTACTCTCGCCTTAACGCGTGCACACCCCTGCCGGCCCGTGCTGAGTTTTCATTTCAGGGGACGCCGTCTCTGACCGTGCTGACTTGGCTTTCCCCGGAGCCCAGCCTTGTGCTCCAGTGGAATCCGAGTGCACGGGCAGGTCCAGAGAGAATAAGAGGGGGAGGCTCACGCTCAGGGAAGGGATCCCGGGGATGCTGAAAAGGCACGGTCTCCGTCCTCTGCAAACCACCGCTGTCATCTTCTTTCTCTTCCTCCGCCCCGGGAGGAAATTGTGAGGCTCTTTTCTCTCTCACCCAGCCTATTCACATCCTGACAGGTCTCTCTTCCCTTCGGGGCTTCTGTCCTCAAAGCAGGTCACACCTTCCAGGAACCATTTACAGCAATCAGTTCTTCTGTGGGATAATGAAAGCATGGGCACTGTGACCCGGAGTGAAACTTGGGTTACTACACAGAAGGCCCTGGACAACAAGGGAATTACAAACAGAACCAGTTACCACGTTCACCTGGTTTGACTGATGGCCCCCTGGAGAAAAGTTGCCAGTTTAGAGATGGAGAGGACTTCTGATGCATGGTGCTGTTGCATTCTTAATTTGTTTTCCCGGGATCCTCTCTCCCATTGCACTGTCTGATTTCCCAGGTTTACACTGGGTCCTGAACTATTTCCCATCTATCCCCTTCTTTATCTCCATTCCTATATACATGCATTTATGTCTTGAGCAGGCAGTACAGCAGATGGAGTGCATTTAACTGTGTGTTGGTGAGACATTTTTAAAATGTATTTTATTGATTTTTACAGAGAGGAAGGGAGAGGTGTAGAGAGTTAGAAACATCAGTGAGAGAGAAACATGGATCAGCTGCCTCCTGCACGCCACCTACTGGAGATGGAGCCTGCAACCCAGGTGCATGCCGTGACCAGAATAAAACGGGGACCTTTCAGTTCGATGGCCAATGCTCTATCCATTAAGCTAAACAGGTTAGGGTTGTGAAACATTTTTAAACCCATTATGTTGGCGTGTAGGACCATATCTAGGTAGATAATACATCCCCAGTGTTAAGTTTGTACACCTGACAACACATCCCTTGTACCTTAACTAGCCTCCAGCCCAAATTACAGGATCTTTGTGATCTGGCAAATTACTGTATCAGAAAAGTGTACAGGAATCAAGCGATCTGTCACTTTCAAAGTTGTGTGTGTGTTGGGGAGGGGGGTGGTTAGGGATGTTTTCTAAATAATGTGATTGGCCATGATCTGACTTCAGAAATGTGAATCAATTCGGTGTAAAATCAAGGTGTATTTTTGAATGAGTGTTAGCAGTTATTGTGCATTTAGGCATGGGAACAACCCTGCTTTTGGGAGACAACTGTGGAAAACTCTTCTTATTTATTTTTTTCACAAATGTGACAAAGGAAACCTAAGAATATTTCGGAGGCTAGCGAGGTGATGGAAAGGTTGACAACTCAGTTATTATATCTTCTCTCATTATTAGTAGCTCCTGATCATTGCTATGTCTTTGGGTTTTTCACACTGATTTTTCCTTTTCCCTGATTCCTTTATGTCTAATATAAAGAGTTTAGAGTCTGTTTAAGTCCATTAAAAGTGGCTTAAGCATATAATCAAGAATGGGCATCCAGTTGGAACAAGTGGACAAATATATGAATAACATAAATATAGGATGCTATAGCTTCTTTGATTAAGCATTGGAAAATGGATGCACTAACAAAAGATGTTGGGGTTTAAAGTGTATGCCCACATTTTTTAAAGCTATTATTATTTATTCAATTTCACAGATCAGAAATGTCAGGTTTGGGGAGGGTAGGTAGTTAACCTTAGATCACACACAGGTCAAGTGATGAGGCTGGAACTCAACCTTGGTCTGACTTACTCTACTGTTCATACTGCCATTCAGAAATCTTGGCTTAGTTGAAAATCGTAATAGTTTCTTTAGAGCTTTTGGTAATCATGAAAAAGCTGATCTATAATCTTTTGGCATTTTTCTATGGCAGGAGGGGTTTATAAATGTTCATTTCTAAGATTAGGTGAGGACTTAGGAAGTCCTAGTTAAGACTTATAGATGAAAAAAAGTTAGGAAACTTTTCTACAAAGTCCTTATTAAAGAATGTCACTATCAATGCAAAATGGATTTTTTAGAAGAGATATTCCTGATCTGAACGTTTGCACTGAGCAAATAAATATTTGGTTTATTTAAGAGCTGTAAACAGAAATTTTTTTTAAAGTTTTATACCCCTTTAAGGGTGGCACTCAATTATATTGGGCAAGTTTTGGGAGCTTTTATTGTTCTCATTCTTTAATTTTCATCAATAATGATAATTTAATAATGACTATGTAGTCCATATTTTAAAATTATACATTAGACCAGATATTTCAAGGGCATTTTTGGTAACCACAACTGATTGTAATTTTCACACTCTCAAATTGTACCCATAATTAGTGAGAACCATGACAATCTGTTGATTGCCTTTATTCATTAAGGTATTAAATAAAGCCAACATTTCTCACTTAATTTTCTAACAATTTTGCTTGCCAAATAAAGTCTAGAATTTATATACACTAGACAAAATAAAACAAATGAAAATGTCACCTACAGCACATTCTAAAAAGTTGATTCATTTTAACTGTTTTGTATTTCTGTTTTTAAAAAATCTGTACTAGAATTCCCATTTATAAATTATAATAAACAACATTTTAAAAGTTATATAAATGAATTATTCTCTTTTAAGACTGCTTAATGTTTCAAGTAGAATTTCCCATGTTGCTACACGTTCAACGATACAATTTTTGTTGTGATAGGAAAACAGAAAGTTAATGACTCTTTCCAGTTTGTTCATTTTCATCTCTTATGCTTGCTGCTGTTTGCTTCCCAAGTGCATTTAACTGGCAAGTTCAATGAAGATTTGGCATCGCACCATTTGATGAAAGCAGAAAAATTAGGTTGCCAATTACATATGTGCCCCTTATGTGCACTGAATTCCCACCGAAGTGATGAGCCAAATTAGAAATTCGTCAGTAGTGGCACCAAAAAAGTAAAATTAGTGCCTAGGGAAGGTAAGGGAGGTATTTTTTTTCTTTCCAACCCTATTACTATAATAAAATTCATAAGGTGTTTTAGAAAGTGAATTAACTTAAAACATTAGCAAACAATGTTTGTAGATGAAGAATCAGGAAATAAATTTAAAAGTTACATTTCTTTATTTTTTGTCCTAGCTATTTTATAGTTTTCTAATTTACTTCATATCCTATCATTGTCATCCAATCATTATGAAGGCCATTTCCCCCCTTTGCTTTAGTCTAATGGTAAAAAAGAAATGAATATATATATATATATATATATATATATATAT